AAAAAAAAAAAAAAAAAAGGGAGAAGACAGAGAACTCGAGAGAAGGAGAAGTGTTTAAAAGGTATAAATCAAGAAAATATTACCAGAGGGAGAAAGAAAATAATTTGACCTTTTAATAATTACTGTATGGGAAAAGAAAATTCACCTTTTAGTAAGTCCGACTTTACCAGTGCACAATTTTGTAAGTCTACCCCACTTTTTGCAAGTGAGCCATATATGACTCAGTTGTTAAAATAAAGACTAATGCTGAATTTTATTAAACTTATATCTCTTTAATATGGATTTTTTACTCTTCACATTTGATTTTACATTTCCAAAAACATTTTTAAGTCACAATTACATTTGGAAACCAACACACTTCATATGAAGGCAGAAAAMCAGTATTTTTTGACTATTCAAACCATAAAAAAAACATGAGTGCCATATTCTTCTTGTGCTATGTCTTCATTACAGTAGTATCAGTCAAGAAAATACTGGTATCAGCATCAAAGGAATGGTCAGCAGTCTTCCACATCAGAAGTTAGGACAATACTTTCAACATGCAAAGTAGGATTGTCAGAGAGGTAGCAAGTGAAAAGCTGCAGAAAGGATGGCAGATATAAAGAGTCAGGAAAAAAAAAAAAAGAAAAAAGAAAACAGGGAAAGATAAGATAACAAGATTGAAAAGGACAGGAAAAAACAATATGCAGTAATTGGCAACAGCAACAATTGTGTTTATTCATATTAGAAAGAGTACAAGAACACTGACAGAAAAGATGAGGAATAAGGCAGCCATTCTTAGACAGGTCTAAAGAAAAGATCTGGTATGGTATGAAATGCTCAGTTATTCCTCAATTAAGGTGATAAGGCAGTCACTTAACTTTCAGTTTGAACTAGTCAGCTCAGAGCCGGATTCCTGTGAAATCAGTAAACTAAAATGGGCACCTCCAGAGGGCGATTCATCCCATCCTAAGGYCTGAATCTTACACTCTGATCCACATATCTGAAGTGTAATTAATTTTGTGATGTTCACTAGGTATCTATGAATCTAGCATCTCATCTTCAAACTGAGTATTTATGGATAACAACATCTGGATTAAAATTATAAGAGATTAATCATATTTTCAACTTCTCTTAATCTGAATAAAGAAAATTTACCAATGGCATTCCTCTGCACAGAATATATAATATATTGTAACATGTAACTATGTGCTGTAYGGTATTTTTTACTACTGAACAGTACTTGTGTGCACTACACTGAATGCAAAACTTCCAAATAAAATGAAGTTTGCTTTTCTGTTAGAACTAATTATGTACTACTAGGGCTTTAAGTTTATCTGCTGTAAATAAAAATTTAAGCTTGTCATCACTGGGATGCTCTATTCCAAACATTAAGATCCAGTTCATTAAATACCACATCAAATCGATACTTAAAATGGCACTGCTCAAATTATAGTAATTTGTTACTAAATGCAGCAAATTCTGCTGTGGAAAATGCTGTAATCCAATGTCATGGTCATGGACACTTACTACTACGGTTTTTTTAAATGAACCATAATTAAATAAAAGAGTCATGGGTGAAGGTCTTGTTTTAAAGTTGGTATACAGCCCGGTCTCTGTATCTCTCTCTATCCTGTTCTGTGCAGGAACTTTCAGTGTAGAACGGGTCTGTGGAAACAACCTCTTTATACCACCTTCACCAGCTTGCCAGCCCAGATATAAAAAACTAAGACTGTGTGCCTACAAAACAGCAGTACCAAAGCACAAATAATCAAAGAAGAGGATGGGATAGTGAGTTTTCCTCCTGAGCAGTGATCTGGGGGCTGGAATACACCAAAGGGACAGTTCACCGTTGGCACTTCCTTGTTAATATGGAAAGTCTGAGAGACATGATCCTGGGWCTGCACAATTCAGACCCATTTGGAGACCTATGCATGGTAGTGGTCTTCTACTAATGACTATTTTAGAATCTTGTCATCTTAATACTGCCTACTACATAAGGACAACACAAAATTGTCAATTACAATGCAATTAAAAAGACATCTTTAAAATCTAAATATACTTGAAATGTGATTTTGCACTGAACAATTTACATGATCTAAACCATTCTAGAGTCATGCAACATGAAATAGTGTAACATCAATGCAAAACAACAGTAAAGGCCAACTATAAAATATACCAAAAAGTCTCATAATTAGAACTTCTAAAAGTTTTATCTGCATTTAATTTCATTTTCCTTTTAGAATGAACATGAAGAGTACAGTTCTGCTAGTTTTTTACTGGGTGCCCTTAAAAAGTGTTGCCCAGTGACAAACACRGCACAGGAATGGGAATCCCATCACACAGCAATTTATAGTATAGTTCTTATGTTGACCTATCTGTATCAGCAGAAATTAATACACTATGATCCCAAAAGCAGATGTTACCATTCCAAAATTAATTGTGAACTGGCACCATAAGACCTCTCCCTGCTCCACCCATTTTCATTCTGTCCCCTTCAGCAATGGGGCAGTTTAGAGATGCTACTCTGCCATACATCAGCTCAGCGCTCGGTTACACTGCCGTGTTGCTCAGGTGAACAGTTAAAATGTTCTATGTGTACCACTGAGTGAATGAAAGAAAACAGGAGATCTTCATCTCTGTAGTTGAACGGGGTTTTTGCATGGTAATCCATGAAGACCAGTTATAGTCAGTGAATATTAGTTAATTGCTCAGTTTTAAAAGTATGTGATTTCCCTAAACATATACTCTTTTTATAATACTACATATACTTATGGGAATCATGCAGAAACTAAGCAAATCCATGAATAAATTACTGAATGAAACTTTTTTTCCAATTTCCTAATTTATTTTATTTTTTTACAGCTTATGGATGAAATCCACACTGATGTCTAACCTGTAATGAATGACAATGTAAGTAATCCATTATTCTACAGCTACATTTGTTTATGAATTGTTTGACTTTGCCTAGCCCGGCTGAGTAACAATTAATTCGCAATTTCTATTTCCAGTTTCAGCACTATTGCAATCAGGTTTTAAACACAAATTTTGACACTCTTAACTGTTATTGTGTGCCTGCTTGTGCCTTTTCCCAAATGCTAGTGACTAGAATTAACAGAAATATATATTAAAAAATGGTTTTGATTTTTCAATGTCTAATAGTGGGGTTTTTAAGAGCTCACTTGGGAAGACAAACATTGCAGCAGTCATCATTTCAGCAGGAGAATGAATTTTGTGATTTGAGATGGCCTGAAAGTCAATATAAAGCTTCCCTTAGAAGTGACTGTGTTAAAATAAAAATGCACAGTGAGTAAAGTGCAGCTCAGAAGAGCAGTTAGAAAACTGAAGTCTCACTCTGTTTTCCATGCAAGCACAAAGCATAATACATCTGAGCACTATATAAAAAATATCACTGTAAATACTCACCTGATTCCTCCCTTTTATCCTATTATTTCTCCTATACTGAGAAATAGGTGTTTTTCGCATTTCCTTCTATAAAGGAGAATAATTTCCTTCTCTCCGTTTCAGTTTCTTCCTTTCCTTTTTCCTACTCAGCTGCATGATTTCTGAAATTCCAGAATTTATAAGGGCTATTGATCCAATCCTGGGGTTAAATACCAAGTTCTAAAAGCTTTGAGTGTGGCTGAAGATAAAACAATTTAAATTTTATATGTTTGTGTTCTGTTATTTCCATCAAAGATATAAAAATACTAGAATAAAGTTCAGCAATGAATCTATTTAGATAACTATTACTTTAGAATGACATCACCATTCTGTAAAGAGCTATGCTCATACAGCAAAACATAAGAATGATTTTTACTGATTTGAACTATACTATTATCTCTGATACCTTATTTTCATGTTTAGTTGTTATGAGAAGTGCATGTCCACTTCTCTCCTTTAGTAGCCATTATAAATGATGTATAAAATGCTTCAACAAATGAAATTATTGATATCTTTAAATACTTTATAACCACCTTATTATAAGATATTTAGAAGATAAAAATAGATAGAGCTAAGACTAGAATATTGTGCACAAATGTWAATATTTTCTATCCTGTAACAATTCATAAACAACATTAATTATCTGCATCCATGACATACATTTTTAAATGCCACGTCTTGTAAACACAAAATCCATGTTTGTAATATTTTTTCAAGCAGCTTAATAGCCACAATATCAAATGTTGTTTCTCATATAGTATCAACATTTGATGTTTCATTGACACAGTGACAGGAGGCCAGCTYAGTGTAAGTTACTTTGTAGAAGATAGTGACAGAACTTCAAGGTGATACTTCTCARGAATCATGAACTCCTGCAGTCTTTAAAGATAAAATGACATATGACATACAACAAAAGTAAAGCCAATTTTTAGGGACCAATACTGACTAACTAAAAGAATGATCTCTATATCCAGTATAGATATCGACCAAGAGAGAAACACAAAAATAGTTTTGTATTAAAATGACATACCCTCTTACAAAAAAATCCAAATCAACCAACTCCCCTGGCCCCCCCAAAGTATGCTTTTTTTTACTATTGTTACAGTTGATCTTTGTACATAATCTATTTGTATAGTCATGTGACAGGATTATTAATTACTGAGTTCCAAACTTGAGCAGAAATCATGTATCTCATTAGCTAAGTTTAATCATAGACATAAGAGTGCAATCACAAGCAATATTAAGAAAGAAAACTGTTAAATAAAAGCTTAAGACATGAAAAGATCTGTGCCAAAAAAAAAAAAAACCAAAAAAAAAACCAAAAAACACTGCATTTAAAAAAACCCCATTCATTTAAGGGAATGCCTAATGACATCCCTTTTAGTCATTCTGCCGACTCTTTAGTCTTCATGAATAACGTTTTAGGGATGTGCAAAATAATAATTAAGAAAAGCAATCCCACTGTCCATAAGCTTCAATTGATAACCAGTAGGTATAATAATCCACTGAATTAATTTTATTTMGTAAAATCATGGATCATAGAAAAACGCAAATCAAAGGGACCGAGCTTTAGAATTGCGAGACCTTTTTTCCACTGTTTAGTAAGACATTATCTAAAAATCATAACTTATCATGTGGAAAAAACTCCATCACATTCTTATGAGTGCTACAGGAATGTGGAAAATGAATAAATTAATTCATCTACGATCAGCAGCTTTCAAATGATGGGAAACGTCCCACTTGGAGAATATGCAAACTGTGTGTTGTAAAGGAGAAGCATTATTATTTTGCACCCAGCACTTCCACAGTATCTCATTTGAATCCTTTTGTATTCACTGGTGATGCCATGCTGCCAATACTGTGTTCAATCTGGGGGTCCCTGCTACAGGAAAGACATGGAGGTGCTGGAGCGCCAGAGAAAAGCCMCAGAGCTGAGGAAGGGTCTGGAGCACAAATCCTATGAGGAGCAGCTGAGGGAGCTGAGGTTGTTCAGCCTGGAGAAAAGGAGGCTCTGGGGAGATCTTATTTCTCTACAACTGCCTGAAAGAAGGGTGTAGCCAGGTGGGAGTTGGCCTCTTCATCTGGTTAATCAGTGACAGGACAAGAGAAAATGGCCTCAAGTCGTTTCAGAGGAGGTTTAGACTGGATATTAGGAAACATTTCTTCACTGACAGGGTTGTTAAACACTAGAACAGACTGTCCAGGGCACATGTAGACACACGCTTAGGGACATGATTTTTAAGTGGTGGACTTCTACTGTTAGGTTTATAGTAAGCCTCGTGATCTTAAGGGCCTTTTTCAATCTAAAATATTCTATTCTGTGATTAATTTGTCTGTCTGCATCTGCAGTGCAGAACTCCACAAGCAGGAGGCTGAAGAAAGTATAGTGGGGACAGAAGAGAAGCTTTAGATGTGAAAGACTGATAGGACAATTTGTACCTTTGCATGTAATTGTTCTTGGAGTAAGCAGGATAGTAGACTTTCCATTTAAAAGGGTCATGTGCAGAAACCGGAGAAGAAGGTGAGATTCAAGAAGACAGGTGAGGGTGTAGCTAGGACAAGTGTGGAGAGAGCTAGAGTCAGATAGGGAGCTGGAGTCATGTTCTCTAGTAAAGGGGCTTTCAACTGACCCCACTGTATTTATCCAACCATGATCTTTCCAACTCTTATTGAAACCCCTTTTCTGATACCTATCCCAAATTTTTCATTCACATACACTTACACTCAGAACTACCAGTATAGCCCATCACTGCTTCTGCACCCATATGCCCTAGATTCATACATCACTCTCCTCTGTCACTCACAAGTAATGCCAGGAAATCAGCTTTTTCCATGCTATAGCAGAGGTTACTCTCTCCTTCCTTACAAGCTGCTTTCTGATACAAGGCAAAGATTCCCTTCAATCTCATATTCAGTTTGTAGCTCAAGCCTGAGCAAAGATTACTTCAGAATCATGTAAGTTAGCAACAGGTATTTAGCAAGATAATTTAAAAACAAGTACAAATTCCCTCATTTTCCACATATGTATCAAAAGAAATGAGTAAGAAAAATGGAACACAAAATGGTTAATTAGGGGACCTGCCAATTTGCTTTATCCTTTTAAAAAACTATTGTCAGTATTTGTTTCCAATTGTTTTTAATTTCATAAAATACACTATAGTGATTTTAGATCAAATTATTTCTTTAAAATATTCCTTTCAGATAAATGTATTTATACCACTTGAATATGGATTATAATTTGGTGTACCTCAAATTYGACCCTACTGCAATTCCAAACACAAATATGCACAGACGGTTGGAAAAGCTAACATCTCTACAAATTACCTATGAATGTGCTTGTATGGTACTCAGGACAATGGGAAGTAAACTATGTGAAGGGCAAGTAAAAGAGCTGATAATATAAATATTTTATGATGCTGGAAAATTTTCAATAGTAAATAAAAAGTAATAAGAGACATGCTATGAGGACAAAGAAACTTTTTACAATGTAAAATTACCATTCAGAGAAATAAATTAAAATAAGCTGTCAAATACAACTGGGATTTTTGAAAAAGTAATAAACAGATAATAAGACATTTAATAATTGTAAGGAAAGTTTATTCCCTTTCATAATGAAAGGATAGAAAATTTTTAAATCTGTTTTTCTGATTTTCTAAGAAATCAGACTTTCATTCAAAGAAAGGATATATATTGTAATCTAGTGGAGTTGACAAATTTAATCTTTGTCAGATGAGGACCCAAGACTTGAAAAATTATACTTAACTTCTCAGAAAACTAAATCTACTAGTCCGAAGTATACATGAAAAGTAGGACTATCGAAGCATTTTAGGGAAACTCAAGGACAATATAACAATCAAGAACCCCACATTGCTGTTACTGGGGAAGGCGTGATGGGGACAGAAGGATTAATGYGGCCAGATTGCTCTTTCTGGCTCCYGTCTGGACACCTCTTGCCGTTGCTTCTTGCTGGAGAGGCATGCAACTTATCTAAAACTGACTAGGTAGGGAGTGCTCTCTATTTATTCATACAGTTCAGAACACCACTTATTTTTGAGCAATAGATCGTTATCAACCCTCAGCAATTTTCAAAAGTCACAAAACACCTATCTGATCAAACTTTTAATTGGAAACACTATTTAAAGTACTGTTATGGTTAAGCCAAACAGGTGTTCAATTCACCATAGCCTTAGAGTCCACTAGGGGTTTGCAGACAACAGCTTGGAAACCATTCCAGCTGTTTCAAAGGTACAGTGATATCTTCTGCTCCATCCCTCCCTACAGACCTTCTGCTTGCTGTGTGAAACAGTTCTGCTTCTTTATCTGATATCCCCCAGGATGAATTTTAGGGCTTGCTACTGCTTTTAGCTTCTGAAGTAGYAGCAAATGGGCATTTTCCATTGCCCACAGGTTTGTGAACAATAGAAGTAAAACTGATCTGCCCATCTGTAATATTGCTATTGCCAGAAAAAGGAACAATTAAAAAAATCTACAGATTTAAGAAAATGGGAGCATTTTATACTTGATTCACATTGAAAAATCTATCATCAGTCAATGAGGACTACAAACTCTTATTTACAGATTCAGAATTATTTTAAGAAATTAACAGAAGCTGCTGAAAATCCATGTAAAAAACAGTGAGGTGGCTTGAGAGCCCTGGCTTCTCACAGCAGTAAGACATTTCCTGTCACTTTAACAGTGATATTCTAGMCTTGTAGTAGGCAGGAACTCTAAGTTCAAAACAGGTACTTTAAACTCGTTGGGGTTATGAAACTCTGAGAAACAGGGAGAAAGAATCTTCTCTTCATTTTGCAGCCCCTGCTGTTAAAAAGAGCAGCTACAAGTCCCTGCCTTCCTGAGTGGCAAGACTGGTCCCAGCCTGCTGAGCTCACAGTTTACGGGCTGATGGCTGCTGTAATCCAACAGCCACTGCCTCTCTCTGATGATGGATACAGCTGAACAGTGGGGTCAGTGAAATCTGCCCACTGCGACAGCCATGGCTTCTGGATCACCACAGGTCCTGCTGTGAGATCCTTCTGCAGCTCTTCAAGGTCAACATTAGGTCTGACTCCAACTGTGAATATTTTCCTTTTATCATCTGCAGTCTTTACAACTGCACTTTTTCAGACTGTTTAGGAACAGGTAGACCAGCAAAGGTGCCAGTACAAACCTCTGTGAGGGGGCAATGTGAGGGGGCAATGTTAAAACTGCCCATTAGTCACTGTTGCTTATCTTCTAACCTTTTACCTATCCACAAAGAATTTTAAGTAACTCCATACTTCATTTTGTTAACAGTCTTCAGTTACAGAACTTTCAAAAAACTTTAGGGTCACTTTTTCCTGTGGGTCTGAAAATTACTCCTTCAAATAACTAGCAAAGCTCTAAGACAAAACTACTTGTACAAAAGCCACAATGGCTGCTATTACACCTATGCGTGTTCCTATTAATTTTTCAGCATTAATTTTTGAGTTCCTATTAATTTTTTTTCCTATTGATTTTTGTCACAATCACTGGGATTTTGTCTGTCATGGTAGCCTGACTTTTTAGTTCAGTAGTCCATTACCATCCCTAAAACCCCTTTTAAAACTAGGGTCACATTTGTTACTTTCCATTTCTCTGTTATCAAGGCTAATTTAAGTAGCAGATTACACAACACAGCTCATCGTTTGTTCACCAATTTAATTTCTGATTTTTTCTAGGACTACTGAAGGAACAGCATGCTACTGGGCAATTTATTAATGTTTATTCAATAAAATCATTAACAAAACTTTATTGAATATCAAATATGAACAATTCCCTACAAAAAAACAACTCCTATTTGGGGAGGGCCCTAATCTTCCTGTCAAACACCTTGCCAGTTCAATGAGTTCCATTATTTCTCTCTGTAATGGCTTTGTCTTTCCCTTAACCACAATTATCTATTAAACTCACCTCCTTACTAGCAAAATTTACATGTGGAAAGAATGGGGTTTGGCTTTTAGAATTTTAGCCCATTGCATTTCAAAATCTTTTATGTTCTGCCTCATATTAGGTCTACACTTGCCAGAATTGTGCTCTTTGCTGCTTTGCTTGCTTGGATTTTACTTTTTAAAAAAAACTTTAGTTTCTAGTAGTTTCTTTTACTGTTGAATTGTGTTGGATAATTCTTATTTAATTGGGTTAGAATCAGAAAACAAAGTCCCCATATAATTTTTTTTATATTTATTTAAACTGTATCTTCATTGGCATGCAATTCTTTTTTTTAAACAAGACTGGAGTTTTACAAATTTTATTTTAATCTTTTTTTCTCCTACAAGTTTGACAAACTTGAGTATGGTATTTCACTACTGAATGGTTCTTCCATAGTCATTTGTTGTGTGCTGATCTAGACTAAATCAAGGGCTGTCTGTCTCCTTCTGGATTTCCTAGCTTGTTTGCTCAAAATTTAGTGCTCAATGATACCTAAATACACAGCCTGTGCATGATGAGCTAATGTGGCCTGCCATTAAGTTYTTCCTGTCCATATATATTTAACCAAGAAGTGTTGCTATGATCAAGCTTTTGTGTTATACAATCTCCCCAGTCTACCACAGTATTTCACTGCCTCCATCCCACCAGCTAGCCCAGAGCTCTTACTAAAGTTCTCCTATTCAGCTGTATCACCATATAGGACTACATCTTGTGTCTAATTCTGATAAAATTAAACTATTGGACTAAATTTTCTTTGGTACATACTGCACCATTTGCCTGCGTAGTCCAAGCTACCATCTCTGTAATCAGCCAGGCACTCAACATTCCATCATCTCCGGCCACATGTATGATCCACACACTAACATTTCAGTGTCCTCTTGAAAGAAAGGAAAGAGTCACATGCAGATACCCTTACAGCATACCTGGGAAATTCCTGCTTGAGTTCATCCTTACCACTTTTCTGAAGATTCATTACTTTCAAGGTACAATGAAGCAGAGCACTATGAGATAGCAATGTACCAAGATACCAAATAAAAACTAGTGTAGGTTCCTTCCCAAGAGAGATCAGGCGGCATTTGAAGAAAGGACTGATGAATGCCACAGTTGTGTTATTCAAGATTTCTGTACCAAGAGATGTTGTGACAGGAAGGGAATATATGAAGAATGCTACAGAAGTGTAAGAAGTCCTTCTGCATATGTGGCAGAACTTTGTGATACTTGCATTGACTTCCTTATATGAGATGGGGTAATCTGTTCTTACTGGTGTGGAGAAGAGAGGGATGCTTTTAGAACACAATGCCAGTAGCTACAGACTTGAGTTTGGCAGCTGAGAAGTCCTCCGGGGCTAGCTTTTTTTTCTGTTGGCTGCAACTCTTTCCCTTTTATGAGGCCTGTGGTTGAAGCACCTTGTTTCTGCATTACATGGCATCAGACACAACAGAACCCAGCAACTACACTGCAGCATCCAGTGTGTATTCATTATTATTTATCTGTACTACCATAAATCTTGGAAGGCCTCACCCTGAACCACTTGCATTACACTGGGCCATCAATAAACAGACAGCAAAACATAGATGTTTAAATTCTACATAGAGACAACAGAGGGATTATGGCAGAGTCCAAATGCAATGACATAGTACTACTGTGGTATGTGCTGCCATTAATATACCTGCAATATAACTGTTGTCTGGCTGGACTGTTTAAAGCTTCACAGTACATAAATTTTTAAAGAAAAAATTAAGGGGAAGATAGTGAACATTTTTGTTTATAAAGAAGTCTACCAATACATAAGAGGCAGCTAAGGAGAAAATATCCAGTGTGGTATGAAAATCTAATGACCAAATGATAGAAGTTGGCATCGTATGTTGATCAAAACCAGAGTCAACCTCTTGACACTGAAGGAGAGGTATCAGGTAGAAGTAGTCTTAATGGGCCTTAAAAATAAAGACAGATAGCTTATCTTTATTGCTTTAAAATGAAGCAGAAAATTGAAAATATCAAAACAGTAGGTTTGGAAAGTGGTATTTACAGCTGAGCAGCACTTTAACTAGCTAACAAGAAAGGCAAGACTGCATTTTGTCAAGCCAAAGTAAAAGATTTTCTAATAAAGATCCATGAAAAATCTGGATGAAAAAGTACCATCATCTGACAGAGAAGAATGACTATCCTTTAAGGGTTGGAAAAAGATTCCCAAAATGCAGGCCTAGATTTGACGACAAAACGAATGACAGCACAATGTTATCATTCATAAAGGATCCAGAGAGGTTTTGTGAGGGCATCAACCTAAATACAAGAAAACCTACTAGCAAAAGACCAAGAGTTGTAACTGGAAATAAAGAACTGAGGGCACTGCTGAAGAAAACTTTCATGCATTAAATCTGCTTAGGACTGGAAAGGAAGAGGTATATGAAACGCATGAAACATTGTTTTTCCTACAAATACTGAGAAATGAGATATTTCTTTGGTGTCACATTTAAAACTAATTTGTTACAGCTATCTATGCTACCATGCTTTGACTTTCAAGGGCTGAAGAAAAACAATGTTCGTGACATTACAATGTGAGGAGTGCAACAATGTGAGAAGTGCCTCATTCCACTCAAACAAGGACATGCTACATTCAGGGCAGGCACCATACGAGTAGAGTGCAAACCACAGTAGACAGAAGCTCTTGGAGACTTACAACTAACATGCTGAATGTTCAGACACCTTCCCTTGCTCTTCCTTCTCAGTGCACAGAAGGAAACTTACTCTGTTGCTGTAGTTCGGCATTTCAGCTCTTGAGGTATTCTTAAGCCCAGACAATGTGTAGCTGTGCAGCAAATGCCCACTCCCTACATCCCAAAACATCATCTCCTTCTCTTGATATCTGTTTTCTTGCTCTTGTCCTGGTTTCAGTCATTTATAGCATCACAGCATGAGTTAAACCAAAGAAACAATCAGATCAGGTTTAAAACAACAGGTGCAAGAAGCAGTAAGTACTAGAGAGCTGGTTACAGCAGGAGACAATTCAGAGTTCCTTCTCTTCCGAGTATTTGTAGCAGTACTGCTGCAGGCAGAACAGAGCTGTGCCCCACCATTATCTCCCTAAAAATACTGGGAAGTTGCCATCACGGGAAGTGGAAGCAGTCACACCCAAGTGATCTGCCTCTCAATGGTGATGAGAGAAAAAATCAGATACAGATGAAACACGCAGAGGATTCCTCATACSCCACTCACTGGCATGTCACTTTCCTTCCTTTTCTTCTCTGAAACTAGATCTATTCTGAGGCACTGCTGACCTAGAGGCACAGCTAGAAGGCTGTGTTTAAGGTTTGGGGTTTTTATTTTTGCAATCATCTAATCTCCCTCTGCATTTCTTTCTTTTACCAAATTTACTGCAAGTAAAAATATGTATGGCCAATAGGATTGAAAGGTGAAAACAGAAAATCTATAGGTCAAAATATTTTAAAAGGAAAATACGCTGATTGAGACTTCTTTTAGTGCAAAATGACACATCCAATATCCTCAAATAATTATTTAAATTCATATTGAAAAATCCCAATTTCATTTTATATTGCAAAATCTCAGAAGAATCGCTGTTCAGGCTCTTAAACTAGAACTCTGAAAATACCCATCCTGTAACAAATATAATAAAATTGTGGTTTGAGCACTGTTGAAGGTGATGCATTTCAAAATCATTAAGTTTTGTGTTTGAAAAAGAAATTATGGCTTCTGCTTAGCACTAATTTTATTTAGCAACCCATTGTCCTCTGTTCTTAGTTGTAACTGTCATCTTGAATACACAATTCATATACTAATTCACAAGTAGTTACTGAGTCTTCTTTAATGCTTTAAAGTACTTATACTCCTCTCCAACAGAAGAAAACCAAAAACTTGGAGAAAAGCATTTACTGATAGTTTTAAACTTAAATCTATCATATATTCAGTGCAATGAAAAATACCAATATCCAGTTATCCATTTAGTTCTCCTTTCAGGTATGTTTTTCAAACCATATTATGGGGTTTGGTTTTGGGTTTGGGTTTTTTGGGGTTTTGTTTGTTTGTTTGTTTGTTTGTTTGTTTGTTTTGGGGTTTTTTTTTGTTTTTTTTTTTTAACTGGACTCTCTAGTCTTTTGATCTGAGTCGGATTTCTTTTTTGGTCCTGCTTTTTCTTCAAATTACTTTCATTTCATGCTGCTCTTGTGCCAAGCAATAAAAATATTCCTGTGCTCCTTAACCTTTACTCATCAATTATTATGTGTGTCCTTGTTTCATGAGAAAGAATCTCTATTTGTCCTTACACACAATTCCTCCAGACCTTTACAGTCCCGTGATAATTATCCACAAATTCAGTAACATTTCCAGTTCTTCCATTTTTTTTATACTAAGACACAGTAGAAAACATCCTTGAATTTAAATACTAAAAAGGAAATACAACATCATAAGACAGGGCACAGAGTTTACAATACCCCTTTTGTTATACAGGGRAAAACCTACATGTAGTTTTTGCTCATTTGTATATAAAAATAGGAGTCAAAGCAATGACTGTACCCATAGCTACAGGAAAAGAACTTCCTCCTTAACCCAAGCATAGATATTTATAGTCATTCTTGGGTGAATCCACTGACATATGATATGGGTAATATGTASTTCCTGCCTAAGACTATAGCTAATCAGCATGTATGATCAAATTCATAATGCCAGCTCAGTTTAATTTAACCAAGTTACACTGATACAAGTATAAGTGTGTATTTGTTAACATGTCAGTGTTCAACCCAGCAAGAAAATTATGTTAGTAAATCAGTTTGTAATAACTACATAAGTATTAGTGGTATAAACAGTTTTTATAGATCTATAAATTTCAAAAAGTTCATCTGTCAAAACACAGAGCAAGTCAGAGACACACTATTCTGAACATAAAGAAAACTAACAACTTAGAACTCCCTACCTAATTGCAATAGGGAAGAACTTCAGGGTCCCATGGTGAATTACCTAAGAATAATAAAATCCTTAATGGGTATACCGTATATATTTTCTGAAAAGAAATGCAGTAATTTGACAAAAGTCAAACCTCTTGATTCACATTTTTATCACCATTAGTTTGTCAACATCAATAAAGACTAACTACTGAAAAAGTCAATGATTTCAATGTACTTACAGCTGAATTTTCTTATCATGTGATCAACTATCCACAAAGCCTCAGCGTGATTAAGAAGTTTTGAGGAATACAGTATTTGGTACTGCCAAAAAAACATAATTAAAAGAACACATGTAAATTATACTAATTTTCTAATTAAAAATGCTTTATGATTAGTTCACATCTAAAGTACATGAGGGGGAAAAACAGGACTTACATTATCCCAATAGGCAGGTTCCAGCACAGTCAATGAGACAGTGACAGAATTCACAGTAAGGAGTCACGGCAGGGTCCTGATCTTGCAACCAAACTTTCACAAAAAGAACCACGCACTACTGCAGAATCTCCTGAATTTCAATAGTGCCCTACCCACACATAATCAATTACAGAGTCTGCCTACGTGGGAGTAACAACAGTGAGAACAGGACCTGTTCCTCCACACACCTGCAAAAATACCAAGATTAAAAAAAAATAAAATTAGCAACATGCATCAAAACCTACTGATAGCCTGTTTTATTACAGCATTTAGCACGTAATAAAGGAGTTCCATAAGTCTTTAAGTTGCATATTATTTATAGGAATTTTTAGCTCCTTCTTTAAAGAATGTTGGCTTAAAATTGCTTATGAATTTTACATGCAGTAACAGCACATTATGGAAGCTTGTACTGATATTACTTGAAATACTTGAAACTTTTTCATTATCATTTTCTACAAATTAATTATACTAATTTCTTTAGTCTATTGAGCAAGTCACTTTTTAGTGCTTCAACCTTCTTAAAATCTGTCCCACAACACCCCTTTTAGGGACACAGCACAGGTCTGTGAATTTATTGAGGTCTTCATGACTGTGAAAATATCTGACCACATATAGTAGCATCCAAGACCAAAGTCTTGAAAAATACATAATAAAAAGCAGTTTAGAATTAGTCATTTTTAGACTAAAAAGTTGCAGCTTTTTAAAACAAAAAATCCTAATGAAAATTCTTTGCTAGGTCTAAGGACTTCATGAACATCATTTAAAACACAGGAAGCACTGAACATAGCGTTGAACAAGAATACACCACCACTTTGCTGTTCACACAAAACTAAACATTCATCATTTGACCTTACTCTTCTTATTAGAAACACACCTCTGKTGATTTTTAAAAGGAAAATGTCACAAGTTACAATATTTTTATATATTATAACCATTTAAAAGCAGGTTAGCCATAGGTTCCATTAAGTAATATTTAACTGGTAACACTAGGCGAGACTACTACTGGTGATAAAGGTTTTAAGAACCAATAAATCCTAGAAACAAGCAAAAAACCTCATTTTTTAATTCCTTTATGACAGATAGCACTGGAGAAATAACAATATTTAAAAGCAAACAACAAGAAAACTGGGACCAAAAAATGATTGAGAATCTAACAGACAAACCAGAAGTTTCATAAAATGGAATGTAGTTTGTTTGAGGGTTTTTTTGTTAATGACTAATTGTTCTCTTCTTGACTTCGATTTTATGAAAAAAATAAGCAGAAAATGAAAAAAAGTATCACAGGTTTTTCTTCCTTGCTGCCAGGTTGATAGTTTTCAACTGAGCAGGCGGAGGAACAAAAAAGTTGACATTTCAAGACAGTTACCTTATGATACTGAACTGGATTCTTCTCATGTTACTTCTTTCAAATTTTACATTTGTTGTGGGTTAAGGTTTCTCCTTGTCTTTCAAACCAAGCCAACATTTCACATGCATGACTCTCAGACTTCTGTTATTCTGAGAAATTCAACTGTTTCTAAAGAACATGCTACAGGACTAAATTCTGTTTAAAGAGTGTTGTATCTTGACCCCTGTCTAACATTAAACAGAAAATTTAAAAATATCAGACATATGCTAAGCTAGTGTGCCTATCTGAGCCTGTACAGTGAGTGATGCAGCATTTCTGGCAAGTGTAATCTGCCCATTTCTCACTGACTGAGATGAATGGACAAACAAAATCTTTCAGTACAATTTTGGTGACAAAATCACACAGCTACAGATTTAGCATTTCCCAAGTTGCAATACAGTATGATAACTTGATGCAGCCTGATCCTAATATTGTTTTCTGTCCCTGTATCTAGGCCCACATCTTTCTTCACAAAGGAAGTTAATTGGAATACAATGCATATTTTCTGCACTGTTCTAAGAGTGTAGGTTGTAACATGGGTCAGGGACACATAGCTGCAGTGTAAATTACGGTCAGTTTCTGGGGAGAGCTGAAAATAYAGTTTCACAATCTTGACAGCTTAAGTAATAGCTCAGAGGTAATGTCCAAACAACCAAAGGAATGAAATACTTAAGCTATCCCAACAGTTTCCTTCTTTGACATGGACAGGAAAACATGTTTCTAATCCAGGTATAGAAAATACCATAACATGGAATGATTCACAAGTGGTTTGGGAGACTTAAAAGGCCCTGGCAAAGCCAAGGTTTTTCACAAGTAGTAGTAATGAAGTTTAGCTTCCTATCAGCATGCTTATAGGTGCCACTGATACACCTGTGCCAAAGTTAGCCTGGCTGTTTTCCCATTTCCTTCTAAACAGATTTCTCTAAATTCCAACTTCTGATGTTTAGGAGAGCACGAAGCAGCTCACATTGTGGCTAGGTCTGAGCTACATGTGTCAACTGACAGACCAACCAAGCATGCTGACCTGCAAGGCAACAGGTTGAACAGAACAGAAAATTTCTGAGCCTGTGCTGCAGTCTTTTCTACCCCAGGGGCACTAATTTTGAGTCTCTTCTCTACTCACAGCTGCTAAATTTCATTCAAATCGCAGAAACTTCACTTTGTGACTTCTACCTCTATATCAAATGCAGCTGAAATTAAGCAGTGGATTCGAAAGTTATTAGGAGATAAACATGATCCTATATACTTGTTTTTGCTCAGAAAGCAGGCATGAAAACACTAGCATAATCAGTGTGAAAAWTTTTTTCACAGATTTTTATATCACTTATTGTTTTTATTCAGGAGTTACACCACAAAATCAAATACAGCAGAACACAATTGTTACACAGTGATAGCATATAAATGAATCCAGAGAATGTAGAGATTGTCTTAATAAAAGTGGCTTAATTTTGCCAAAGTGAACAGAGCCCTAAATACAAGTCACTTCATACCGGTGAAAAATTAACAAATACAATATTGTATTTTTTTAACTTACCACAGCTATAACTGACAGCCCTTCATGGAGATCCTTGCTTCTCTTCCAACTCCATGCTGTCTTTTGTAAGGCTTCAGAAAAGTTCAGTGATACACAGTTCAATAAAACAGCAACATCAACTCTATCAGTCTATTCAGTATACATGGATTTTTGTGGAGTTTTTGTGTTTTGGTTTTTTTTTTTTAAATAAGCATAGTGATTTTTAAAGCATCACCTTAAAATCCTGATCTTACTGCCTGGATGTTGATCCCAATATCCCAAATTAGGGAATAGTTTTTAATAATATGTAAAATCCAGTTCCATTTCTATAAATAGCATCCACAAGCCTCTGTGTACCCTTTCTATTGATACAGCACTAAATTCTTAACTTGTGTAATCCTCACTAAAAATGCATATTTGAAATCAGAGGGTTTTATTTTTTGCTCGATTCCAGGAACTGGTGAAAGAAGGGAAGAATTTGGAAAACTATAACGACCTCTCTAAAACTCCAGGAAAAATGAAGAGAGACAAAGAATAATCAGTATGGAAAAGTTAATAGAAAACTGGACATTGGAGAAGAGGTTAGCAGGACACAACAGGTATAAGAGTCAGGGAAGTGAAAGTGATGCAACCACTAGGGGATGGAACAAAAGAAACAAAGTTATCTTCCTAGCAGGGTAATGAAAACAAGCTTTTCAAAACTGTTTGGCATTCACCTATCTCTTCTTCTGTTAAGTAAAAGAATTACATCAATTCAAAAAATGCCTTAAGAAAACCTAAAAACCATTTCACTTTAAGCACTTAAATTATCTAAACTCCACTCAGCTACACAACTAAAGAAGTGCTTAAATTTTAAAATCAAGTTACGTCCTATTGTTATCTTTCACTTGTAGTATCAAAAACACATTCAAAACTGAGCCCCAGCTCTTTACTCTAATAACACTCAGACTCATACTTCGGTGCTAGTCAGGATCCGGCCCATTGGTTACCAGATAGCAAAACTTAAGTGCAGGATTAGTTGTTTGATGAAGAGAATGCAAATAGTTAAGTGCTCAAAACTAATTCAAGAATCAGTTCTCCAAAAGAAAACTAAAGAAAAAATTGCTGAGAAAGAACAAAGAAACAGATTGTTGCATCTGCATTAAAAATAAATGACCTCTGAGTTACATCTCAATGCATTATGCCTGAAAACTGCTGCTCCTTCTTGTTTTTAAAACGTGAAATGGTAAAGAATCCTGGCAAAGGTTAAGTAAGTTTAGTTGTTGATAACAGTACTAAAGTAATTCTTAACACAGGGTGTAGTTCAGATATCGACATAAAGGGCTCAGCATTTCTCTTGGCTATTTAAACACATTTGTGCTTCCATGCCCAGTTTGGWAAACAGCTGGGACAGGGTTAATATCGTGTATTCCAAGAGGATAAACTGTGGAAATCATAAGCCACCAATAGGGTTGTGTYCCTTTTACTCCTTACTCTACAATACAGTTACTAAAGGAAAACAGAAATTGAGCTATTTGTTGAGATACCAAAAAAGGTCTGGGGCATCTCTCAGCATTCYCTGAACTTCTGGTCACTATGATCTGTCTCCTGAACTACAGATCATTCTGTGCACCATTATRTTAAACCGACATCTATCTAAATTACCATAAAGCCAACAGCAACACTTAACAACTATATTCTTACACATGCAAGCACCAGCTACCAATATTCCATCCTATTTATAGCTGTAAAAGAAAGGAAACTCCTTGTTTTTAAGGTTTATGCTTAATAAATGCATACATGTAAAAATCATTACCTAATGATTCTTTTGAGTAAGATTAAAGACCTGGCTAAGGCAGTAAGTTAAAGAGAGAAATAGTTCCCCTGCATGTTCAGTCACCTCTTCACAAAATAGCTAAACAAAATAATGTTTTGTTTTTCTCAGGAGAATTATGAGCACTACTAAAATTTTATAAATGTTGTGAAGCTCAGAGTTCAAAATTTCCCAGAAACTGGGAAACTAGAGAAGCATATCAACAACTTGCATCAAACAGTCTTAAAAGAAATAAATTGTACAGCAAAAGAGCAAACAAACTAATAGTAGCTAAAAGCACTTCCAGATCCCTCACTTCTGCATTCATTTCAGCAGCATTTAATTTAGTTATAGGCATACATATCTGCAAAATTTAAGCTTCAGTCTTTCGGACACTTTCACATATCCTGAACTTCACTCTTTTAAGCAGTGCTACCTGATAAAACTATTCATGTGAACAGAGTTAAGCACATGCACAGGACTAAAGTTAAAGAAAGCAATAAAGAAATTATCTAATGAATTCAGTATATCACAATTATTTTTGAAGTTGAGGACATTGAGGAAGAAAGCAAAGCTTGAAAATTTAACTGAAATATGGAATGTGAAGGAGAAAATAGGTTATGGTTCCAGAAATTACCCTACAAAAATCTAACTTCAACACCTATAAAATAACAGAATCAGTGCTAGGCAGGAAAAAATAATAGAGCATCCCTAACTTAATAGTCACAATAACCACACTCTATTCTCACCATTTGATGAGTCTTCTTCAGTTCAAGGTTGAAGTACATGGGTGCTGTGGAGAAGCAATAGGCAACTGGTCTGCTGTCATTTATCCAGGAATAAAGAATGGGCTTCAGCTTTCAAAGATACCAAGCCAGAACTTTCCACAACCATTAAATCTACATACAAAAATATTAAAACATTATGAAGTTAAAGTTAGACCTTTTAAGCAAAACTTTACCACAGAACCTAAGTTTAATACCAAATACTTTCTTAAATCCTCAGGGATATGTTTGTTATTATGAGTCAGGCCTATAGACATGTTGGAGTCAATACTGTAAGATATTAACAAAATATAAAAATCCAACCTTTTGATGGCTACACCACTAGTCTTTCTGCTTTCTGTGTTTTARTGGCTCAAAAAAAATCTAAATGGAAGGTTTCCTATTGAAAAATCAGAAGGTAAAAGAAAAAAAAAGCTAGTTTTATTTTTCATGTGGAAGTTTATAGGAAATCTAATAAAGTATAGGCATGTCTTAAGCCAGCACGTATTTCTTGCAGTCCTTACATTCTATAGAAGGATCTCTAGATCATGTTTGTTCTGGCAAATTCAAAACTCTGTTTTCATTGTACAATAGTAAATGCTGTCCACTTTAATCCTTCTACATTACTCTATCACCCTAGCAGACTAGTATTGCAAAAGTAATGAATTCCAAAGCCTGTATTTGTCAGGGCAAATTAGAGACTGAATGGCTACAGCAGAAAGTAAAACACACATGAAGGAGGATGTCCAACTATGGTTACTAGGTTATTAAACTTTAAACTTCAAGTGATATGAAATTTACATGGAAAGCCTGAAGGGAGCCTTAGACTCCTGTAACAGGGATCTAGGAAGCTGGATGAGCATCAGGGGCAAGGCAGGGCTCAAATCAAAAAATAAGTAGAAAAAAATTTCAAATTCCCACTGGCTGTAAGTCCATATACAATACAAACAGTGAATACTAAAACAATATGCAGGTGTGTAATTATTATAATTATGTGGGTATACCTTGGTGCCCCCCAATTGGTCTAACTTACCTAGGAATTGTCCAGATGGAATGGAATAACATGCAAGGACCCAGGCAAGCCAAAGAACCTAACTAAAAAGTTACACAGTAATGACACAATGCCAGTTTTCATTACAACAAATTCCTCTAATCCTCACAGTTGTAAAATAAGTCTTAAAAATACATAGCAAGGTAATTTATAAAGTAATGCATGCCTGAGCGAGAAGACAGCCTCCAGCTTTCTAACCTCCTTAGCTATGAGCTCCTGTGTCATTTCAGCAGACAAGTATTTTGCTTTGATTTTGCCACCTCTCAGCTGGATCTAAACAATCCAGTATATTCAAGCATGAAGTCTGCTGCATATAGGAAACTCCAAGTACAGGAAGCTGGGAGGATGTCATCTCAGCAATGTAGGTTATTATGAGCCCCTCTTTATACTGATTTTTTCGAGACTTTTAATTTACAAATTCAGGGTCTCCATATCCACCAGGGCATAAATCCAGATTCCCAAAGAAATGCCTTCTAGGTCTCTAGACTGGATCCAGTTATCAACAGTTTGCTTCATCTGACATAACAGAACCTATGCAAGAAGTGGGAGAAAAACCTGTAATTTCTAGAAACAGAACTTTCTCAGGGCTGGTGCAAGTCTAAGGAATGAAATTGCCTAAGAGCTAAGGGCCTAACTGCACCTTGCTTGAAGAACAAAACACATTATTTCAGCCTTACCTCACTAACATAAAGACATAATGTGTATGGAAGAAAAGATAGAATAAACTGAAAACATTCAATTGCACATGCTCCTTCCCTTGGCAACAAGAGAACAGGTATGAAATGCTGGTCATGTCACTTATTACCACATGAGGAGATTCTCTGACATTAATGGCACCCTCTGAGGAGAAAAAACTGTAACATAGACAGGCACTACAAGGAGGTGTTCAGACAGTGCTGTARTGAGAACTGATGAAGAAAGGAGTCCATTATAGAAACTGCAGCTTAACCTCTTATCTGCTACCAAAGCAGATAAGGCATCCACCACTCTGATGAGCCCAAGTTGTTTGGAGTGGAAATCTGATCTAAAGAATTGACATCACTTTTGGTGAGACTCAAAATCCTTTCTTTTTCTTCCGTCCTCAGCTGTGTTCCTGCTGTGACTTTTTGGCTTCCATAGTCACTGAGGAAACAAACTGATGATCCTCTCCCAGATGCTACAGCCAAAGAATGCAATAGCCACCTCATCTTACATGGATTTTTACACTATAGTAATTGCTTTCTCACTTGTTCTGATTCTCAGTTAAATATTTACCCATTCTGATCCTCAAAGTATTATAATTGTGCATTATTTAAGAGATATGCATCGAAGGTGTAAACTAAGACTATTACATTAGGTTAAAGCTTTGTGCAATCCTAAGTCATTCTGAAAACAATGATTGTTAATGTCACTGTTAGCTTCTTAAGTCTGAAATATAAGAGCATAGTAATGAAGACATCTGTGTGCTTACACAGAATAATATATATTTCAGTCTGTACAGAACTGGGGCCTATGGGCATTAAGAATGTCAGGAACCTGACAGCAAGTACTAGGTATTAGGAAAAATTTCACTTTCATTAAAAATCTTAATGAAATCATCGGAATGACATCTGAAAGGATAATAGTGTCCTATTCATACTAGAGAACACCATGTGTCATAGAAACAGTGTATCACAGAATACTGACATACTATCTTCTACATCTTATGTTAGGGTTGGAAAAAYGGGTGAAAAATAATAACTACAATTATTTAAGGGCAACACTATACATAATCTAAGTACAAAGAAYTGGTGTCAGCAACATCAGAATTTTATATTTCTCTTTACTGTTTTCACTGCTATTTGTACCACAAAGTTTTCTTTTCACAGGCTCATAGCCTTCAGGAAAAAAAAAAAATTAGAAAGCATGTACTATCATTCTTTTCAGTTGAAAGGCACACTTTTTGAAAATTTTGCTCAGGGTAACTTTAACAAAAGAAGAGAAAAAAAGTAAATATATTGCAAATAATTTATATTTCCTCCTTTTTAATAGAATGGCTTTACAATCTGAAGTTTTGTCATCTGGCTCATTTTCATTGAGAACCTGGTTTAAAAAAATTAGTAATCAGTTTCTTTTGCAGTACCAAACTTCAAATCTGAAGAAAATATAATAATATAAAGGCATAATGTTAGCTATGTGATTACTTACATGTTGCCTTGCACTGCTTTTTTTTCCTTAAGGAGCGCCAGAATTACATACTTTCTGAGCAGCAGTAGTTTTCATAGCCATGATGGTCTAAGCTTTTTGAGCCCCAAAACCTTGGTGTTTTGTACTGCGGCAGTTGGCTTAAAAAAAAAAAAAAAAAAAAAAAAAAAAAAAAGCGAGAAATTACCTCTCCCTTTCAAAACTTGTTCTGCTTATATTTTGTCAGTGCAGCTCTAGCAGGGAGCAGTGGAATCATGAAAAGCATTAGGCCCTGAGCCTGCTAGCGCTCGTCTGCCAGCAGTCCAACCGAGTTCAAGAGGACTCGCTCACAGACGTGAAGGGAAGAGTTTGAAAGTCAGCGGGAACAGAGCTCCCAGACTCTCATATACTTTTGAAAAACCTTCCCCAAAGTCATGGGAACAACAGTTTGCAGGTCTAAGGCCTCTGCTTTCCTTTCCCTTTCTAAAAAGCCCATCAGAATAGGAAAAAAACCCCAAAACACTGAAGCCAGAAAGCCCGAGGACCAGATGCCAGGGATGCGCTGGCTCTCCCACCCGAGGCTGGGTCCGCGGAGCTCCCAGGGAAGGACCCTTCAGCAGGCACATGTCAAGTGGAGGGAGCGAGTGGTTCGGGCGGCACTGTAACCTGCCTTCCCCCCGCGGCTTTCGGCAGCTCGCTAACCTCCATCTCGGCTTCCCCATTCCTGAAACGCGGGTGCCAGCGCTAACCCGGCCATCAGGTACCTTACGATCAGCCACAGCTTGGGGCGGAGGGAGGATGCGGCTTGAAAATGAAAGTTCCCGTTCTCCCCGAGCGCTCTGCGCGCAGCCGAGGCGGGAGCGCTGCCCGAGTTGAACCTCGCTCCGTCAAGTTCCTCCAACAAGGCTTTTTGCCTTCTTTTCTTTTTGGTGTGGGGTTGTTTTTTTTTTTTTTTTTTTTTTTTTTTTTTTTTTCTTTTCAATTACCAGTGTAGTGCACTTCGGGCCCGCTCTGTCCGGAGATAAGCCCACAAAGCCCCGCTCCGCCGCTCGGGGGTTGTTCGCAAGCCCGGGCGGGCGGGCGGGGGGCAACCGGGGGGCCGCCCCGGAGCGCTGCCGACCGGAGCCGGTGCGGCGGCAGGAGGGGGATGGGGAGCGGCGGCTGCCAGGCGGGATCGGGAGCGGGAGCGGGATCGGGCCCGCAGCGCCGAGCGCTCCGAACCCTCCTCTGGCTGCGGCGGGGTGCGCGGCTGTGGGGGGCACAAGAGGGGGTCAGGCTGCAACCTGAGCGCAGCTGGAGCCGCGGGGGTCCTTGGAGGCACGGGGGGTGCGGGGGGAAGGTGCTGTTCATATTTTCCTCAGGTCCTCTTGGCGCACATCCCCCTCCCCCAGCCGGGCTTCCTTTCCCTACCTTCCCAAAATCCGCTGTCGTCCCCCCTTATCCACCCCCCTCCCCTCCACCGGCGCCTTTACCTTGACAAGTTCGCGGGGCCAGCGGAGGTCTCGCTCCCCCTCTCCCTCTCTCCCTCTCTCTCTCTCTCTCTCTCTCTCTCCCTCTCTCCCACACACATCTCTAACGCGCCACCTCTCCCCCGCGGGCCCGGGCTCCGGGTGACATTTCTCTCCCTCTCTCTCCTCCCTCCCTGCTTCCCTCTCTTCCCCCCCACCCCTCCTTTCCCCATTAGCGGCGGTTGGGTCGGGAGCGCGCGCTGAGCGGGGAGGGCGTGGAGCGCGCGCGCGGGCGGCGGGAGCGGCGGTGGGGGGAGGGGCGGCATTGACAGCGAGCGCCGTGTCCGTGCGGCGCTGCCGCCTCAGCCCCCGCGCGCCCCCCCCCCGTTCCCGGCATGCCCCGGGGCGGCGGGGCTGGCGCTAACGAATTTGAATGAAGAGCCCTCCGCTCTTTCGGCGCCATTTTCGAGTGATGCCCGATCGCATCGCTGCTGCCGCCGCCGCGGGGGAGGCGCGGGGGCCGCCCGCCCTCCCGCCCCACGAAACTCACCTCCCTTCCCCTCCGCTTGCCCTGCTTCCACCTTCGCTGCCGTGCTTCGGAGCGGCAGCCGCCGCCGGCACAGGCGGTAAGAGCCGGAGGAAGCGGGCGCGGCTGGGGCAGAGGGAGCTGGGCGGGCGGGCGGGGGAAGCGCGTCTTCGGAAAACGGGGGAAACCTGCACCCCGCCGCCGGGAAAAGTCATCTCAAGAGCCCGGCGGGCAGCGGGCGGGAGGCTCCGGGAGGCGGCGGCAGGTCCTGGGCGGATCTGTCACTCGCTTCTCTGAGTCTCAGCGGGCGTGAGCGGCCGTCTCCTCTGGCAGGTAAACCCGCTTGCTCCCTCGGGGCGGCACCGCGCCCGAGCGGGGATCSCGGGAGCCCCGCTTACACCCGGCCCGGGGAGAGCGGCGCGGAGGCGGGCGGGGGTGCTGGGGGGAGCCGCGGGACCGCCGGAGCTCCAGAGGGTCCCGGTGCCCCGCACTCCCGGGACATGACAGGAGAGGCGTCCCCTCATCTCCCCTCTGCTCCCTACCACCCCCACCCCCTCGCCAGCGGATCCCTCCCTCCCGCCTTCTCCCCCCGCCTCTCCGCCGTGGAAATTTCGGGGCAGCGCCCGGGACACGGAGGCTCCTGCTTCCAGGCTCTGCAGCAGCAGCAGCAGCCAGGATGACTTCCCCACTTACATGCACATCTCCCTTTCTCGCCCGCCGCCCCCAATCCCCCGCCCCCCGCCTCCTCCTTCCTCTCTCCCTGTGTTTTCGTAAGCTGGATTAATGCCCCTTCGCTCTTTCTCTTCCCCTTCCCTTCTCCACCCCCCCCCCACCCCCCCAAAAAAATAGAGGACAACCTTCGGGGTTTTTTTCCTTCGTTTGTTTCCTCTCCATGTTAGCAGATTAACTTCTCTGTTTAAGCGCTTTCTTCACCTCCCACTCAATCGCTTAATTTCTAGTGTCGCGATACGGAGCGGCCTTTTGCCGGAACCCTGGTGACGGTCGTGCTGCCACATGCTGTCACATTTATCATCTCTGTCCCTTTGGGTATTAACGAATGACCAAAGTGCTCTTCATCCCTTATTGCACAGGGCTATTTTTTCCTCCTCGTAGTGTTAAAACGCGAGTTTCCCTCCTGGASTGGAGGGGGGGAAACATAATCCGAGACCATTTGAATCGTGCCAGCTATTTGTAGGTGTTTTTCCTCTCCTCCCACACACCCCAAAACCGAGTAAATACCCTCCCCATAGATAGCCCAGCCTAATACTGTGATCGGAGCTGGCCATTCACCTCCTCTTCTCCGCCTACAAAATTCTCTGTCTCTGTCACCCGGGTCGCTATTTGTCATTGGCTTAGCTATTTTTTGGTGGTTGTTTCTATGTCATTTCTCGGTGGCCAGCAGCTCTTGGTCTCTCGTAGCTGTATGAACGCGGTCGTGCTTATTGTGATAGGGGCCGAGATCTCTCTCGCAGCTTGAGTGCTGGACGATTCCCTCGCCGCACACACACGCACATACACATAATATGTGACACAGTGCCTTTTTCTCCACGACGCCGTTTAACCCACTCGGGGCCGGCTTTGGCGTGGGCGCTCGCGTTTCGGAGTTGCGCACACAGGCTCACAAGGCATCCTTTTGTGGCGGGAGCGCCGGCGGGGACAGCACCGTGCGTCGGGGCAGGGAGGGAGCTCGGGCGCTGCCAGGCCAGCGGACTTCTTCCCAGCCACAATTTCTAAGCACTACTTTTTATTCCTCTTCCTACTTCCCTCTTCACTTTCGGCCGCCCGAGCTTTTTTTTTTTTTTTTAAATCATTTTTTTTTTTTTTTTTTTCCGGAGGCAGGAAGGCGTTTGGATATTTTCCCCGATGCCGTGTGAGCCGCGGGCGCCCGGGGCTGCCGTCGAGCTGGCGGGCGCGCAGGATGCGCAGCGAATGCAGCATCGGGTCCCCCGTTAAGGCGCCCGTTCAGCGGAGGCTGGACCGGCTGCTGCCCCCCCTGGTTGCCTGCAGGGCTGGGGACTGGGAGGTTGGACCGGGTCACAGCCTTTTCCCGCACCTCTTCCTCCCCYCAGCACTGCCGTCCCCCCGCTGCCCCCCCACCCCCGCGCATCCCTCCGCGGCGTTCAAAGCCAGAAGCAGCCGCCTTGCACTTAGCACCCCTGCCACCGAAAATAACGAGTTAACCGAGGGACGTAGGAGGGACGTAGAGAAGAGTTGGGGTGCAGAAGTGCTGTACAAAAGATTTCTGTGTACATGGCTGAGAGCTTCTAGTCTTAAAGTGAAATGCAAAACTTAGCATTTCCAGCATGGCAACTGGATTGTGATTCAAGGTATTTTCTCTGTAGTGCAGAAATCCAGCAGTTCAAGGAGATTTTTCTGTCTCGAATCCCTAGTTTACCTGTATTTTTTAATGTAAAATAAAATTAACACTTTTTCCGTTATTCTTTTCTTGTGAATAGCTGCTTAGTTTGCCTCTGCAATTCATACCTTTGTGCCTTGCTAGAAAATTCAGCTTAATCTTTGAAATTGAGTTGCTAGCAAGATCCTATTGAGATTTAGCACTCATTTCTTTAGCTTTGGATCATTACTTTCAAAGTGTTCTCAGAAATGTTTTTAACAGTCAGTATGGGAATGTGCACAAAGCTCTTTCACTGTAGCTGTGTATACTTTGAAATATTTGAAGAGATTTACACTACTCACCTCAGAAGTGCACTCACAAATACTGACTTTCACTTTCAATGAAATAACTGTCCTGACTCATAGCTAAGTTACCAAAAAAAAAGCCTGTAATTCAGTGCTGTACAGGTGCATGTGCATTTTCCCCACTATTCGATAGTCATGTTCAATAGCGTGCAATTTTTACCTATTTTCCATTTTAATTAAAATCTGCTTAGCACATATTTGACTACATGAAACAACTGTTCTTTTAAGCCTTTTTATCTCAGCTGCACTGTTCTCATATTTTACAATTACATAAAGGTGGGTGTGGCTAAAATGAAAGCAGTAAGTAATCTAATATGAATATATAATATATTTTAAGTGAGTTTTCTTATATTTAATGTACTCCTTATTTTGAGATATTTAGGGGGAAAAATAATGTTGCTTAAATAGACCCTTGTAGAGCTGCTTGCATTTTTTACCTCTGTTAAAATGTCAAACATTAACTGGGATTACTTGGCCCTGGAAAAGTTACATTCGGAGGAAATATCAATTGAATTTAAATACCTAAATGTATATATTTATATTACATCAGTAAATGAAAGCTAAAATTCTATGCTTAATTAAACCTTGCTTAGATATAGCATGTAGCATCGTGTGTGTGTTGTTTTTTTTTTTTTCTTTGTTTCTTTTCAGTCTAATCCAAATAGGCTTCAGTTGGCTGAGGCTTTTTTTTTTCCTTTTTCTCCTCTAAAGTTGTAATGAAAGTTTCCAAGAAGTACCCTCTCATTTTATGATGTAAATCTACTGAAGCTTGAAGTAACTTTTGCAAATTTTTAATTTTCAGAAATAACAGTAATTTGAAAGTGTGATTATATACCTGTGTGACTTTTCCATGTGTTAGGCTGGTACTTCATAGGAAGCTTATTGTAGTAATATTTTAAAGGCAGGCTACATATACGATATCAAGGTCTCAYGGGATTCTCTTTCTGTTTGGTTTGTTGTTAGTTTGGGKTTTTTTTATCTTTAGCTTCTGGAATTCTGAACCTATCACTATTCCATCCAAAATGTAATGTCATGGAAGGAAAAATAAATTGGAGTCTTTAATTCCTTATTTATTTTTATGACTAATAAGTCAAATTCTGCAGTGAAATACAACTGGAACTGCATACAAACTACCTGGCTCTGTATGCCCTGCCTGTGAATGCTGTGTGAAGGTGCACATCTCATCCTCATGAATATCAAAAGCCATCCTAACAGGTGTACCACCAGTTTTATGATATACTCTTACACATATAAAAGCACAGGAGCCCATTTACTGAAAAGTAGCTACGTATCAGTTAATATTTATTTTATAGGACCTTACTGGGTTTTGTTATTTGCATTGGGAAGCAATTAACTACTGAATATAGAAGGGAAAACCAAAAAGCTTATCACTATATTCTATGAATATGCTGCAGGTATTCTGCTTAGTAGGTGCAGTCATCTTCCCACCCAAAGCCCCATTGCAAGTTATTTGAGTAATTCACATTCATTACAAACTGTCAAGGGTAGAGCGCATCTTGGACTAGTTTTGACTGTGAAAAAAATAGGGAATGAAATTGGAGGCTTTTGTGTAGAAACAGAAAAATATTTTTATCAGGAAGTTTATAAAACTAGAAATAACTTTATGTACACCAATAAGTGTTCTCCATGGATTTTTTTTTTACTTATTTATTATTATAAGTTCTAGACACTTAATATCTAACACTGGAACCTGATCTCAAAAAATTACGTTCTTTATTACCAGTTATACTTGGAAAATTTTGTTTGAACAGGCTGCCCAAATTTTTTTTTACTTAGTCCACTGTGACTATTCTCACAGCCATCTATTTTTTTAATAGAACTACTAATGTATTTTAAAGATAGAAAAGAAAAATTGATATGCCCCTCAAATAGAAAGGGGACATTAGAAAGAGTAGAGAGGTGTAGCCACACATTTCCAGTAACCTCTTTTAGTCAGTGGAAATGTT